GGAATCAGAGCCTGGTGATAGGTGGAGTTCATAACGCTTACTGGTCAAAGAGACTCTTTGTTCGCGTCTTGACTAGCTTAGCCTCCGCCTTTATGTCGCGCTCAGTAGGAATCACGGACGCTTTCGAGGATCCTGCAACAGCGGCGAGCGTCGTCTGCTGCACCGGAGCCGGGGTGATCTTCTGCTTTTTCGTGGCACGCAGCTCGTTTTCGAGCTGTGCATCACGGTTCAAATGTTTGCATCCTAACACGCAGCAGCGGGCGCACCTGAAGAATCCTGAGTCTCATCGCCTCTATAGCTTCCTCGGATGGCGGGTACGGTATCGGCTTCGAATAGTCGATATTGATGCCTGCGTGTTAGTTCAGCGTCGGTCGCGGGGCATGCCACGCGCTTGGACGCACCGTCGCTGTTACGGGCGCGCTTTCCAAGCATTTTGGGAGGGGGCGATGGGATGAAGGTCGCCATGGTCGCTAGAGGTGATGATGTGCGCAGGATTTAGAGGCGATCAACGCGACTGCCGAGCGAGAACCGTGACTACTGTGACTGGTCGTGTCTGCCGTCACACACTTCGTGGAGGACTACTAGTACCTCAAACGAATCTGGGACTACAGCTGACAATGTTTGCAGATTATATCATGTAAACTGTGCACGAGTCCTTGGCAGAATACAGGTACCCAGGGTTCACGCTGCACATCTTGCTTTGCGTACATCACTAGTACTCTTTGGCAACATCACAGGCAAGTCCGTCCTACATCTCCCTTCTCGTCTATACAGCCTCTATGGGACATGCATTGCAGGTTATGGAAACTTACATTGGCGACAGAATCAGATTTAATTTGTGCATATTTTCTCTAGCGATGGAGGATGCCTAGTCCTTGCGTCTATAGCATTACCCCTCCAGAGCAGTACTTATACCGTCCTTATCGCCCGCCTATGACATCGCCTGCGAGTAGCGTTCTTCGACTATCAAGGTACAGGCCTGTGAGCTTGACATCTCATGGCGACGATGTGCCGACCGACGCTGCATATGAAGTTGTCCTAGACAAGGCCCCTGCAAAAAACCCTGGCTGTCCACTTGGGGAGTCGCGCTCGGTAGTTTTGGCATCATTTCTGGCCCGGCTCCTCACTGATGCGTGCGCGACTACCTCCCGAGCGAAGATACACAGTTTAAGGGCGCACTAGTCGCCACCGAGAACCCCGCATCGTCACTAACGAGGAAGACCGATGGCACAATTAGCTTAGATGGGACACTATATGGCCTGACGGTCACGATCATTGCCGTGAGTTCGTTACGCTATTTGCCACTATAGTGCCTGATCTAAACGTGCGAGGACAAACAAGATTGGTGGGCTATGCTACTCCCATCATTGGTGTATTTACCTTAAGGCTCGCAGCGGCCTGGATACGTGCTCAAGAAGAGCGCCATGTCGGAGTCATGCCGACGGCTGCACAGTACGGGCTGCCAATGACGCTATTCTCCTCTCCGTCTATCGCATCTCTTTCTGGCGTCGGGAAGTACCTTCATGTAAAGCGTGGACGAGCAGTGCGGACGATACCGATGCTATCGCTTGCGCTTATTGTTGTATTTCTGATGCTCCTCCGACTCTTTTGAGCAATCTACTTGGGTATGCTTTCGGGCTTCCTTATTGGCTATACTCTAACGCACGAGTGACCTCTAGTATCGTGGACATCTGGTTACACAGTACCTGCAGGGCGTTTATACATATGAAAATTAGCGACATCACCGCCGACAATCTACCTGCTCTTGCATCTCAGATCAACATCACTACTTGTCCAGGCCACTGCTTGTGAATCCGGTCTACCTCACGGGATCTGACACAAATTATAACAACGGTGCACACAATTCCGATGAATCCGGTCGCGGACCTGTACAGGAACGGGGCGGTGCAGATCTCCTCAACGGAGGACAAGCGACAGTGCGGAGCCAGGGAGCCCATGTTCCGCTCCGTCATGATCGGTCTCCGCTTCCTGCCCACTTTCGAACCTATGCATCTCTGCAGGGTGCCAGCCTCACCGACTGCAATTATCCTCTGGATGATCTCTATATTTGGCCCAACTTCAACCCCCCATCTGGATGAACTTCGCTGGGGACGCCTCTTTCAGTGTACAGCCGTACAACCTATCTGGAAATATCATTGGCGGCGATGGCGAGAGCAACACCAACGGCTGGTACGGCTACCTGCTGAACGTTGAACTCCGACCTGAATCCCTATGGTGCACTCATCACTTTTGATTTTGGGCTCATCGAGGGGACTGTGAATATCGGTAACGGGTCTGA